CTGTGGGAAACGGGTAATAATGGCTCTTTGATGGGAACAGGTTGCCAACCCCTGGTTTAGGTGTTTCAATTTTTTTAAGGAATTCAATTAAAAATAAAGGCGCCCGGCCCGTGTCCGAGGTAATTACACAGTCGTTGGCCCGAAGCCGGCCCGAGGGCCGTCGGGCCGGGCCGACCCGAGGGCCTTGGGCTTCAGTGCAGGGCTCTAATCCGGACCTCCTCTTGAGCCATAAAGAACCTCAGACTAGCTGGATAAAATCTGTTGCAAGTTACAACTGAACGCAGAGGTTCCTTCAGAATAAAAGCTGAACCTCACGACCCCTTCAGGGTCTCGGAGATGCCAGTGATAACCCGTCGTGACCTGGAAGCATTCCAAGACTAGTTTGGTCGGCACCGCTGCTTTTCTACCGTCTTCGGTACCAAAGAGGGTCCACGAGGACCTCGGCATTCTGAATCTGATCGGAGGCTTCCCCTGGGTACGTAGACCGACAGATGGCGTTTCATGTGTGTTCTAAATCTCCTACTAAAGTTTAGAGCGAAACATTCACTCCCACTCAGAACTAACTGCTTCTCTGGATCCGCTGGTTCTGAATAACATTCCACACACACACACCATCATTATTCATCACGTCTCACTCCACCTTAGTCCATCCGTACACAGTGTTTAGGTTAGTCTCGTTTAAATTGTGTAGAAATAAATTTCTTAACTATTTTAAACCTGACTCTCTCTCTTACCTTGCAGTTAATACGAAGTGTTGCTTAATCCCTGCAATAAAAGGTTCCGATCTTCTGGTTAAAATAGTCAAAGATCCATCAGATTGATATTTCATATTTCTATGGAATCTCACATTTTATGGTTCTTAAAGTAAGATGTAAATGACTCATTCTTTACAACAGGAATGTAAGAAGTCAGCCTCCTGGCCTCTCTGTGCTTTTGTCAATGTGACCATTAAATGGAACTTGCTAAAAGCAGAACTTGGTGATTTAAATAAAATAACTTTGAGTTAATTCCATCATTTAAAAAACTGCAAAAACAAAATCAGCCGCTGCTCATCACTAATGTGAGTCAAGTGTAACGTCATGAAGGAGCTGTTCCACCGAAGGTTATTTGCCCTCTCTCTCCTCAGGAAGAACTAATCTGCATGAGAATGCCTCAAGGTCATGCATTTGCTTCTAAACAGTTTCTTCATTTCCAGCTCAAGAGAAGAATGAAGACAAAGGACTCTTTCTTTTAATAAATCAGAAGAACTCTATTTTTAATAAAGCTAATCAAGCAAAGTGTTAGTCCAATAATAAAATGTGAACCAATCTGTGAAATGACAATGTTATGATCAGTAGTTTTTAATAAGTAAAATAACTTTAAACTAGCTGCACTAGACATTCTCATCCACGTAATGCTTAAAGTCACACGACACATTTCCTTTTTCTGATTCAATCAGAACCTTCCAGATCTGACGCGAGGTGTGGTTTTGTTGGTGCTTGGTAAATCCCCTCTGGTTGTCGTTTTTGGATTTGACGGTAAATCAAAACATCCAAGTTATAAAACTATGCCCACGTCATCTTAACTTCAGTTCAAAGTGTTCTAGAGAACTTATCGGAGTGGCCAATCCGTAAACTTTCCTCTTCAGCCGAAAGAACCTAACGATATGCTGGATTAAATCTGTTGCATGTTCCACCTGCTGCAACGGTTCCTTTTAGAATAAAAGCTGAACCATCACGCCCCTTTTTGGGTCTTGCTAGATACCAATAAGACTGTCGTGACCTGGAAGTATCTCAAGACTGGTCTGGTCGGCAACCGCTGCTTTTTCTACTAGCTTTGGTTCCAGAGGAGGTCAAGCTGGACCTCGACATTCCTGATCTAACGGGGACTTCCGCCAAGGTTACGTAGACCGACAGAATGGCATCTCAATGTGTGTTATAATCTCCAACCTAAAGCTTAGAGCAAAAACACTATTTCACTCACATCAGAACTAGTCGTTTCTCCGGATTTGCTGGTTCTGAACAACATTCCACACACCATCCATCTTGCCTCATTCACACCTAGATCCATTCATCACACAGAGTGTTTAGTGTTTAAAGTTAGTCTAGTTTTAATTTGTTTAGTAATAAATCTTTAAACTTTTAAACCTGACTCTTTCTTTTGTCTCTGAGTTAATACGAAGTGGTTACATAATCCCTGCAATAAAAAGTTCCAATCTTCTGGTTTAAGTTATCCAAAGGTCCATAAGATTGATTTCATATTTCCTATGGAATCTCACATTTTATGGTTCATTAAATATTATGTAAATTTAATCGTTACACAAGTCCATGAATGTATTATTCAACCTTTCAAGCCAATTTTCTTACATTTTCATTTAAAAGTACTTTTCTTAGCAACATTCAGATGTTCTGCATCATTACTTCATCATCATTACTAAGACTCCAGTCTGGACTGTGAGTGCAGCAGTAGTACAAAACCACCAGTCCTTTCTTCTGTTCGGTTTCTGATGGAGAAATCACAGCAGGGGGTCTGAAACCTGGTGCCCTATGCAGCATTGCACGTCTCCTCCCGAAGCAGCACTCCAAAACAACAGGAGCCAAGAACTGGTTAAAAACAGCTCCAATTCTCACCAAAACTGTCATGTTCTGCCCCTGCCTTCCTGACTGTCCCTCTCCAGCCTCATTAGTCCCTATTGGTTTCACCTACCCCTTGTTAGCCTGCCCAGGTGTTCCTCACTTTCCCCAGAGTATTTATACCTCCCGTCTCGTTATGTCCTTTGACAGATCATTGTTTGTGTTGTTTGTCGTGTTGTTCTCGTTCCTGCCGTATCCTGTCATTAAACCCATTTTTACTTTATCCGTGCCTGCATTCCTGCCTCCTGGAACTCTCCACCACACATGGTCCATCATCTCCACCACCCTCAACATGACAGAGGCCTCTGAAATTTGACAGAATGATCTGACCAAACCTGGACCTGTGGTGAGCTAACACCTGTTTTTTGGAGGATTATTTTTTCTTTTTTCCCCTTTTCAGCGGAGGGAGATTCCGGCCCGGAGTTGTGTTTCTCGGCGCATCCTATCTGTTCTCGGGGTGGTCGAGCCCTCTGGGAGATCCCGGCGCATCCTGTCCGTTTTCCGGGGTGGTCGGGGTCATTTCTCCTCTCCTGCTGTTCTGCCCCATCCTGTTTTCCCACAGAAGCTGCGGAGCCTGGAGTTCTGATGGAGGTGAAACCCCCTGCGCACGCCAGCGTTCTTCGGATTGGTAGGGCAGGTCTTCCTGCTCAATGTCTGCTTCCCTTCACCCGAGCCTCTGCCTGTGATCCAGCAACTCAGAATGTGCACCTGCTCCGACCGTATGTCAAGTACCTGCTGCCGAGCTGGGTTTCCTCGCGTCGCTCCTGCCATCTTCATCTACTTCCTGGTCCACGCCTGCGGGGACTACGCCTGCAGGTCCTTCTGGCTGCAGCCTCTTCTAGAGTCCTGCTACTGCAGCCCAAACCAGAGCTCATGGAACTCTCAAGGACCAGAGTTGTGCCGCCTATTTCAGAGGCCCCTGCTCTGCCTCCCAGGACTGAACTCAAAGAGCCCTCAGAAGCCAGAGTTGTGCCGCCTGTATCAGAGGCCCCTGCTCTGTCAACCCAGTGTTCGAGTTTCCAGTGTCTGAGTTCCTGAGTCTACGTGTCCAGAGTCAAGTGTTCGAGTGTCAAGTCATGTCAAGTGTTCGAGTGTCAAGTCAAGTGTTCGAGTGTCAAGTCAAGTCAAGTGTTCGAGTGTCAAGTCATGTGTTCGAGTGTCAAGTCATGTCAAGTGTTCGAGTGTCAAGTCAAGTCAAGTGTTCGAGTGTCAAGTCAAGTCAAGTGTTCGAGTGTCAAGTCAAGTCAAGTGTTCGAGTGTCAAGTCAAGTGTTCGAGTGTCAAGTCATGTCAAGTGTTCGAGTGTCAAGTCAAGTGTTCGAGTGTCAAGTCAAGTCAAGTGTTCGAGTGTCAAGTCAAGTCAAGTGTTCGAGTGTCAAGTCAAGTCAAGTGTTCGAGTGTCAAGTCATGTCAAGTGTTCGAGTGTCAAGTCAAGTCAAGTGTTCGAGTGTCAAGTCAAGTCAAGTGTTCGAGTGTCAAGTCATGTCAAGTGTTCGAGTGTCAAGTCAAGTCAAGTGTTCGAGTCCCTGTCCAAGTCTCCTGTGTTGTGTGGCCTTGTGGGCGTCTGGTATCCGCCCCTTATGGGGGGGTGGGGTACAGTCATGTTCTGCCCCTGCCTTCCTGACTGTGTCCCTCTCCAGCCTCATTAGTCCCTATTGGTTTCACCTGCCCCTTGTTAGCCTGCCCATGTGTTCCTCATTTTCCCCAGAGTATTTATACCTCCTGTCTCGTTATGTCCTTTGTCAGATCATTGTTTGTGTTTGTCGTGTTCTCGTTCCTGCCGTATCCTGTCATTAAACCCATTTTTACTTTATCCGTGCCTGCATTCCTGCCTCCTGGAACTCTCCACCACACATGGTCCATCATCTCCACCACCCTCAACATGACAAAAACGGTTTAAACTCCAGTGATTTTAATGCTGAGCTAATAGCTTGTTAAACTGTGCAAATTTGCTCCAAATCCACCAGAATTGGTTTTTCTACATAAAACTGCCATAAAAACAGCTTCACTGGTGACATAACTGTACCAGACTGTAAATTATTCACATGTAAAGAACTTTTTTGCAAGAAAGTTAAATTTAGTGAAGAACTACATGTTTTATTTTTACAGTGTGCAGCAAAAAAAAAAAAAAAAAAACTCACCACCTGGGTTTAACTAAGCAAACAGGTAGGAGTGTCCTATTGGATAATTACTGCAGGGGGATTATCTTTCAGCTGCAACAAGTTATTTAACCCAACTGGTGAAATGAGCTGCTTCTCATGTCTTAAACAACCTAGACACATCTGGTGGTCGTGGAAAAGATGTTAGTCTGTGTGAGAAGGGTCAGATCTTTGGCATCAAGCAGAGAAAGCATCTAAGGAGATGCAGAAACGACTAAAACTGGGCTAAGAACTGTCCAACGCTTTATTAAAAACTGGTCTGATGAGTCCAGATGGACCCTGTTCCAGAGTAATGGTGCATCAGGGTAAGAAGAGAGGAAGATGAAGTGATGCACCCGTCCTGCCTAGTGCCTACTGTACAAGCCTGTGGGGGCAGTGCTATGATCTGGGCTTGCTGCAGTTGGTCAGGTCTAGGTTCAGCAACAGGATGTGCTCCAAGAATGAGGTCAGCTGACTACCTGAATATCCAGAAGGACCAGGTTATTCCATCTTCCCTGATGGCACGGCCTTATTCCAAGATGACAATGCCAGGATTCATCGGGCTCAGATAGTGAAAGAGTGGTTCAGGGAGCATGAGATCATTTTCACACATGGATTGGCCACCACAGAGTCCAGACCTTAACCCCACTGAGAGTCTTTGGGATATGCTGGAGAAGGCTTTGTGCAGCAGCCAGACTCTACCATCATCAATGCAAGATGTTGACACATTAATGCAACATTGGATGGAGATAAATCTGGTGAAGCTTGGTGACTTTTATTTTTTGTCCAGGCAATGTCTTTGCCACATATTAAAAAGACTAACTTCATTTTGACTCTTTGTAAAGAGAAACTTGCAGTTTTGGTGAAAATGGTCTCTGACATAAAACAACCACAAATCCAGCAGATACAGTGTTGTTCTTCAGAGGGAAATATCTGACTTTGAAGCTGAGAAATACTTCATTTACGGGAATATTTGAATTGCTGAAGAATAACGAAATATCAGCTCAACAGCTAGTCGGATCAAAGCCAATTCTGGGAATTTGGTTTATAAAAAAATAAAAAAAATAAAATGAACTTAGTCACCTGATGGTTCAGAGTAAAATTTATCTTTCAAATTCTCTAATTCTAGTTTTATTTTAGTCACATGATGTCAAAAACAAAATTTGTACTGGAAAGAAATAAAAATTTATAGGAAAACTTAAAAGACGAGATAAAATATCCACGTCTGGTTTGTGAAACCTTCCAGTGAGGTGCTGCCAATCAGGAAATCCTCTCCGTGCTTTGACGAAGGAGAAGAAGCTTTACTTTTCCTCCCGTACAAAGATTATCAACACCTTCAATATTTTAAAATCTCAGTTTAACAAAGAGACAGTCAGACATCGCTGCAAACACAAATCCAACGTTACAATTTTGAATATTCACAGTTTTTGAGGCATGTAGAAGCACCTCGGAGTCCAACGCTGTTGCCTGTTAGATTCACAAGTTATAGGAAAGCAACAGAAATATGACACCGAATGTTTCTCCTTTCACAGCAGATGAGCCACTTTCGCCAGAGGAGAGTCTGAGTGGCTCCTGAGTCATGAAGGGTCTCGGAGCGCTCCGGCTTTACATCCGATGTTAAAACATCAGCAGACCTCCTCCTAGATGAAATACTCCTTTGTGCTTTCCGTAGAGCGGTTCTGGGAGTCCATCTGGTTGTTGAAGGGAAAATCTGGGCTGTCCTCCTGTTTGACTTGCTTCCCTTCCTGGTTCCGATACGTGTCTTTCCTGTGGTAGAGGTACCGAGCCGTGACGGCCAGAGCACTCACAATCACAAAGATGACGACGGCTATGACACCTGAAATAAGAGTATTTATGAAATGAGGTGTCTGAAATAATCTGTAGTACAGTTAGATGTTGAATTCAAATTTATTCTTTTATATTCCTAAATCAGGTTCATTTATTTTACTTTAGAAAACATCAAAGCTGGTTTTTATGTTTTATTTCAAACTGAAACCAATTTAATGCTGCAAAGCATCATAATGTCACCATGCATTGTTTTTATTTTACCTATAATTGCAAAAGTTTTCTCATCAACAAATTTCTGTGTGGGTTTAATTAGATAAGCTACCCTTTGAGCGCCAAAAGGCTTAATGGACATTTTGAAATGATTTTTTGAGTTTTACCGTCTTTTTTTATCTACACAATTACAGAGCGAACCTTTTAAGTCTCCACGCTAAATCAATCTGTGCTGGGGGAGATTCAAACTGTAAATGGACTCCTGCTTTGCACATCCAAAATCCGTCTAACCTTGACTCATCCTTTAAACTTTGTTTTGTAAATTTAAAACAGTCCATAAAAGCTTCATATCTGACAGATGAAAGGTAAAGTGCTTGACTTTGATAACAGAAAGGGCTGAAACAGAAAAGACAACACCGGCAAGAGAGACAGAAAAGCTTCAGTACCTCCGATCAGAGCTGAGTCGGTCCTGAAGGCATTGACTAGAGGTTGACCTGAACCCACTGAGTCAGACTGGTCTACAGCAGAAAGGGGAGGAAAGAGATGGAAAGCGAATAAGCACAAAAATGTAGGAATCATGCACAGGAGATCCTGAGAGCGGAACAAAAAAGGAAGACGGGAATATAAAAGTAAAAGAAGATGCATCAACCAGAATGATCAGAATGAAGCTTCAAAAACAGTATTAGAACAAATCCAAAGGAATCAAGTATTCAGCATAAATAAAGCTTTTCACCACTCTAATGCAAATAAAGGAGACACACGATCAAGAGTCCATTGCTGGTGGACAAACGTGTGATGAGAAGGATCGTAATCTGATCTTTATCATGAACCTCAGATTAGCCTGTTTAACCCTAACGCCCCCCAGTGGGGGACCTCTAAAGTTTCATGTCCTAAACATCTACAACTGTCCACATTCTCCAAATACAACTAAAACTACAATCAAACAGCCCAGATGGCCAAGGCCATTTTAAATTGTAATCAATTAAGATACAATGATATTTGAACTTTATTTTAGAAAATCATCTGACCTTTGCTGAAAAAAAGAAAACTTGAACAAATCTAGTTGAGGACCCCTGGAATAAATAAAACAATTGACTAAATTTCCTAAATGAAACTCAGAACCTCCATCCTGTCAACACCTTCACACAGGGCAGCTCTTCTAAAATAAAGTTCAAGTATTATTTTGTCTTAATGTATCAAAAACCAAAAATTGCTTTGTTTACAATCTAAACTGTTTTGATTGTAGCTGTAGCTGTGCTCGGGGAATGCAAACAATCACTGACACTTTAGACATGAAACTCCAAAGGCCCCCAATTGGGAGGTGCCAGGGCCCAAAGAAAAAAGGCCTAGGACCTAAAGGTTTAGAATCGGCAATATCTGACTTTTCCATCACAGATTGTGTGGAAATATTGAACAATGAACTTCCACGTTTAACAAAACTAGAGCAGAAAATGAAAACCAAATTTCTAAAAACACACATGTCATAAAAACGATCAAAGGCAAGTCATAACAAACCCATTCCAAACCTAACGGACCTGAAAGATGGTGCGTGGTTTCCATTGTGTAAGGATTGGCCGAAGCTGGAGAGCCACAGTTGGACTGCGCCAAAGGTCCAGTGATGACGACGGGGCTGGAGTCCGGGTGGAGCAGAGCAGCTTTCAAGGGGTTGATGGAGTTGAACTGGACCACCGACAGACAGCCAGTAAAACCAAGAGATGCTACCCGAGTCAAATGTGGATCTAAATCATCAGACTCTGCAGAGGCAACAGGAGAATGGGAATTATATTAGAACCTTGTTTTGTCACCTTTCATTTGTAAAAAGATGATGCAACAATTTGGTCCTAATAGGGTTAGTAATAGTGTTTGGTTGGTTGGTTCTTAGTCGTAACAAAGTTTTTCAGCATTTAATCGTATCTCAATGAGAAGTCAGATTTGGTCTCCTTACAAAAGCATGTAGCTACACATCAGATCAGCCCCCCAATCCTTTTCTGAGATGTTTGTGAACTGGATGATTAAAGATTCCCACAGAAATCAGGAAAACTCATAGTAGCCACTTTCACTGGTGCTGTCATAAGAATAATTAATCATGATATGTGATTAATTAATCAAACCTAAAAATAAAATTCGATTCAATCTCGGCTCCCTGTAGAGAATTCTGTTGTGTTCTTGGGCAAGACACTTAACCCTATATGACCTGCTGGTAGAGGTCGGAGGGACCAGTGGAGCCCGTGATCAGCAGCCTCGCCTCTGTCACTGCGTCACAGGTTTCTGTGGCTACACTGTAGCTCATCAGCATCAGTTTGTGAATGGATGAATGATACACAGGTGCAGACCAGCTGTTTACACTCCACTCCCTTACCTGTGACCAGCTAGGGGATGTATAGTACAGGTGAAGCTCAGAATATGGTGCAAAAATCTATTTATGTCAGTAATCCAGCTTAGACCAAGAGACCATCTAAAGGCTCAGGAACCCTTTGCAGGTGTTTTGGATTCATTAGCTGATCAGAGTGTGACACTTTGAGTCTAGAATATTGAACATTTTCACCATATTCTAATTTTCTGAGATTTTGAAATAGGATTTTTTTCATAAGAGAGCCATGAGCAACACAATTATAACAAATAAAGGCCTGAAACATCCAACTTGGTTCTGGTCACACACACCTGGGACAGGAACATACCACTTGAAGCTTAAAACAAGATGAACAATCCGCCCATCCATCCATTTTTCAGCTGCTTATCCAGAGTCGGACCGCGGGGGCAGCAGCAAGCTGAGAGAACCAGCCCAGGGCGAATCTCAAGGCGTTCCCTGGCTAGCGGAGAGACATAGCCCCTCCAACATGTCCTGGGTCTCTCTTAGGTCTCCTCCCAGTTCAACGTGCCTAGAAAACTTCACCAGGGAGGCGTCTAGGAGGCATCCTGACCAGATGCCCGAGCCACCTCAACTGGCTCCTCTTGATGTGGAGGAGCAGCAGGTCCATCTGAGTGGCGCACTGGCCCGGAGCCAAACAACAATTCTAACCAGGGCGCCTCCAGTGATGTTTATCCGGTTCTGGGAAAATGTCGGAGGAAAAGAGGTAAACGAGCAGGAATCCAGGTGAGAATGAGACTTCTCTTAAAGCGTGGTTTATCTAGTAAACAAATGCGTGATCTTCTAGCTTCTTTTCCTTTATTTGGTGACTTGAGCGGTTTAGAAACACCGTGGATCTAACCCTGCTAATTTATGTTCACTAACTCCAGCTGTTTCTGTAGTTTCTGATTCCTCCACCTCACTCAGCATGGTTCTATTAAATACCTGCTCTGTTAACAAAAAGTCCTTCCTGCTCAATGATTTAATTCTCTCTAAAAACCTGGATTTTCTGTTTCTGATTGAAGTTTGGCAGCAAACATCTGATTATTCTGGTCTGATTGAATTCTGCCCGAGTGGTTATTCTTTTCTTAGCCAGCTCTGGGGTTCTAGTCATGGTGGAGGCCAAGCTGTTGTTTTCAGAGTCCATCTTCCATGTAGCTCTACAACCTCTGGTCACTTTGCTTCCTTTGAACTGCAGCTGATTAACGTCGGGCGTAAGGACCCGTTCTACTGTACTGTGGTCTATCGTCCACCTGGTCCAAATAGTTCTTTTCTTCAGGAGATTAGTGACTTTCTATCCTCCACTGTGAAGCTGTTCAGGCTGGTGATTGTTGGCAATTTTAACATTCACGTTGACGATCCCTCTGATCACTTTGCCATGAATTTTTTCAGCCTTATGGACTCCTTCAGCTTTACCCAGCATGTTTCTGGCCCCACACACACCAGGGGACACACTCTAGACCTTGTTTTTACCCTGAGTCTAAATGCTGACAGTGTTTGTCCTGAGGATGTTTATATTTCAGATCACCATTGCATTTTCTTTAACTTGTCAGTTTCTGCGTCCCCACCTCCTGCTTGCTGTATGGTTAGTTCTTGTTTTCTTAATGAGAGCACAGCTAGCAATTTTCGGCTGCTTTTGATCCACCCTGTTCTTCTGATAATGACCCAGATTCCTTAACTTCTCAGTTTAATGAGCACTGCCTCTCCATTCTGGACAACATCTGTCCTGTCAGAACCAGATCAGTTCCTGCAGTGAACCCTACTCCCTGGTTTGATGACAGCCTTTGCCGCCTAAAGTGCCAATGCAGAAAAATTGAGCGCTTGTGAAAGAAAACCCATCTCCACGTCCATCTTCTGCACCTAAAGGATCTTCTGACATCCTTTACCTCTGCAGTCAGAGACGCTAGGGTTTCCTATTTTTCCAACCTGGTGTCCCACAGCAAAGGGAACCCCAAGGTGCTGTTTAACACCATCAGCAGCATCGTCTCTCCTGCCTCTCCTACAGCCTCCATCCACTCTGTTGCAGACTGTGAGAACTTTCTGTATTTCTTTGTGGACAAAGTCAATAAGGTTAGATCTAGCATCTCTCCTTCAGACTTATCGCTGCCTCTCCCGACTCCAACCAGGCCTATCATCCTAGATAGCTTTGCTCCTGTTTCTTTGCCTGAGTTTACCAAACTAGTTAACTCTATGAAGACCTCTGCATGCCCCCTCGACATCTTACCCTCATCTTTGTTTAAAAGTGCTTTTCAGTCCATCGGTCCCAGCGTGCTCTCTATAATTAATGCTTCTCTGGTTTCTGGTCAGGTCCCTGCTTACTTTAAGAATGCTGTAATCCACCCGCTTCTTAAAAAAACGAGTCTTGACACCTCTCTCCATAGCAGATTCAGACCCATCTCTAAACTTTCGTTGATCTCCAAGATCTTGGAAAAGGTTGTGGCTTAACAACTCACAGCTGCACTTGATGAACATAACATCTACGAATGCTTACAGTCAGGTTTTCGTAGAGCTCATTCTACTGAAACAGCACTTCTTGGCGTCTCTAATGAACTTCTGACTCAGTGATGCAGGGGACTGTTCTGTTCTGGTCCTGCTGGATATGACTGCAGCCTTTGACACTGTTGACCATCACCTGCTACTGGAGAGGCTGAGAGACTGGGTAGGCCTATGAGGAACTGCTCTGGAGTGGTTCTCCTCTTATCTTTCTGAGTGTTCCTTTTCTGTGGCCGTCTCCAAGTTTATGCCTTCCACCACCTCCCTTACCCATGGTGTACCACAAGGTTCTGTGCTGGGGCCTCTGCTCTTCCTCCTCTATCTGCTTCCTCTTCAGCACATCCTGAGCTCCTTCAAAGGAATCTCCTACCATCTTTATGCAGATGACATCCAACTGTACATCTCCTTTAAGCCCCATGAGATGTCTAAGCTGCTGCTGTTACACACCTGCTTAGATTCTATCAAAATCTGGATGGCTGGGAGCTTTCTACAGCTGAATGAAGATAAGACTGAGATCCTCATCTGTGCCCCAGACAAGCTGGTTCCCAAAGTCAGAGACTCTCTTTGTCACGTTGCGTGTGGAGATGATGGACCATGTGTGGTGGAGCAGATCAGGAGGTACAGATGCAGGCTTCAGGTAAAGTAAAATGGTTTTAATGGTGGAACGGGAACGAACAGTACAAGACAACGATGACAAAAAACTGCAATGATCTGACAAAGACTGATACAAGGAGGGAGGTATAAATACACATGGCAAACGAGGAACACATGGGCAGGGAAACAAGGGGCAGGTGAAAACAATAAGGATTAATCAAGGGTGGGAGAGAGACACAGTCAGAGAGGCAGGGGCAGACCATGACAGTACCCCCCCCCCCCCCCCCCCCCAAGGGGCAGATACCAAACGCCCACAAGCCACATAACACAGGAGACTCAGGAACACTTGACTTGGGGGACCAGGAAACACTTGACTCGGGGGACCAGGAAACACTTGACTAGGGGGACCAGGGACACTTGACTCGGGGGACCAGGGACACTTGACTCGGGGGACCAGGACACTTGACTCAGGGGACCAGGGACACTTGACTCGGGGGACCAGGGACACTTAACTCAGGGGACCAAGGACACTTGACTCGGGGGACCAGGAACACTTGACTCGGGGGACCAGGAACACTTGACTCGGAGGACCAGGAACACTTGACTCAGGGGACCAGGAACACTTGACTTGGGGGACCAGGAACACTTGACTCGGGGGACCAGGAACACTTGACTCGGGGGACCAGGAACACTTGACTCGGGGGAACTGGAATACTTGACTCAGGGAACTGGAACACTTGAACTCGGGAACTCGGTCTCTGGAACTCAACAGCAGCGGGTGCGGGACACTGGAACTCGACAGCTGGACACTGGACCTCGACAGCAGCAGGCGCGGGACAACTGGAACGCGATAGGGCACTCGGAAACTGGAACACTTGACTCGAGGAACTGGAACACTTGACTCGGGGAACTGGAACACTTGACTTGGGGAACTGGAACACTTGACGTTGGGAATTCAGTCTCTGGAACTCGACAGCAGCGGGTGCGGGACACTGGAACTCGACAGCTGGGCGCTGGACCTCGACAGCAGCAGGCACGGGACAACTGGAACTCGACAGGACGCTCAGAAACTGGAACACTTGACACGAACAGAAACTGGAACGGGACCTGGAAACTGCAGCAGCCGGGGTGGGACCCAGTAGGAACTGCAGCAGCAGGCGTGGGACCCAGTAGAGACAGCAGCAGCAAGCGTGGGACCCAGTAGAGACAGCAGCAGCAAGCGTGGGACCCAGTAGAGGCTGCAGCAGCAGGCGTGGGACCCTGAAGAGGCTGCAGCAGCAGGCGGAACTCAGAAGAGGCTGCAGCATGGAGGACCTGCAG